GAGGGTTCCAGTGAGAGACTGTCTCAAAAAACAAAAACTAAAACTAAAAACAAAAGGCACCTAAGGAATGGCACTCAAGGATAGCCATCAGGACCAACACCAAGTCCTGTCTGTAGCTCCGTAGGCATTGTCTGGGACTTTCATTTCAAAGGGCTGTAGACGCCGGCGTTCTCATTAGGGATTCCATTGCTGTGATGGAACACCATAACCAAAAGCAACTTGGGGAGGAAAAGGGTTTATTATTTGGCTTCCATATCCTGAATCCCGTTCTGTTGAGGGAAGCTAAGCCAGGAACTCAAGCCCAGTGGAAAACTGAAACTTTGGGAGCTGATATAGAGGCTGTTCCTCCCTCCCTCCCTCCCTCTTCCTTCCTTCCTTCCTTCCTTCCTTCCTTCCTTCCTTCCTTCCTTTCTTTTTCTTTCAAGATTTTATTTATTTATTTTATTTTACTTCAGTGCTCTATCTGCATGTGCACCTGCATGCCAGAAGAGGGCGGTAGAGGGTGTAGATGGTTGTGAGCCACCATGTGGTTGGTGAGAATTGAACTCAGGACCTCTGGAAGAGCAGACAGTGCTCTTAACTGCTGAGCCAGCTCTCCAGCCCTCAGTCTGCTTTCTTAGAGCATCCAGCAGCACCAGCCCAGGGCTGGCACCACCCACAATGGCCTGAGCTGTAAAAGGAACTTTTATTCGCCTGTTTCAGTTGTTATCTTGGAGGTTTACTGCCTCTGTCTGCTAACCTAGGCCTAATCCTGGAAGCGTCTAACATCTGTGCAATCTAACCTAGGCCTGGAATGTTTCCTGCCTCTGAGACTTACTACTTAAATATGCTAACCCTTGCTAGTTCTTTCTGAGGTCACAGCTGGTTGGTTCAACTCAGCTGTTCTGGCTCAAATTCCTCTCCCAGATAACTTATTTAATCTGGCTTTTCTCTCAGCCTCTAAATTGCTCTACTTGGACTCAAACTAACTCCAGCATCTGTTCTAATCTCCTGGCTCATTCTGTCTTCACCTGTGTCTAGCTTCTCTCATTTAACCTCTGTCTAAATCTCTCCCAGCAAAACTGCCTCATCTCTCCTCATTCTCTGTGTTGCTCCCTTAAATAGCTTCCCTTTCTGCTCTATCCCAATCACTAATTTAAAAAACTGGTCTACAGGCTTGCCTAACAGTGCAATCTTATTTTTCTCAATTGAGGTCCTCGCCTTTCAGAGGTCTCCAGCTGTGTCAAGTTGACATAAACTATCATTTTCTTCCTGCAACACACATCTCTCTTTAGGGCTACTTCCACCCCTTGCCTGCAGCAATCCTGAGGAGACTTTTCATAACCCCAGGATGTCCACCATCTTGGGGTCTCCACTGCAACACAGGCTTCACTTTCACATCTTTATGCCATGGTCTTTCCCAGTTCCTTGCCATCTCAGGGACTTCACACGGGAAGCCCACCACCACCACCACCACCACCACCACATTCTGCCTGGCCTCAGTGGCTCTCTGAAACTGGGGAGGAAAAATTCGTGACTGTTTCACTCTTGAAGCCTTTCATGCCTCTAAAGCCAGTGCCATACAGATGACACTACCGAGTGTGGCAGCCAGCTTGAAATGGATCTTGGTTCCCTTACATTACATTAGCAGCAGTGCTTCTGCTCAGCTGATTTCCCGGAGCACACCTGGAAGCGTGTGTGTGGGCAGCATGATGCCTTGAGAACCTCACTCCCTTGGTTCCAGGGCAGAACAGCATCTTCCTTAACGGCACTAATCAATCTCCTTAACAGTTACAGCCTCCTTTCCAGCACATGCGTTGGCTGTAACATTGAGCTTCCTAGTGTTCCTTCCCCCCCCCCATCCATACATTTAATATTTCTTTCTGCCCTGCTTGCTCTTTTTCATTGTAGTTCTGCATAAACAGGGTCAAAAATAACCACATCACAGACTCAAAAGTATGCAGTCTTGAAATTGTTTCCATCAAAGAAATTAGTTTGCTACTTTTAAACTTAGTCAAGTACTCAAGACAAAGGCAGAAAACAACCAGATTCTTTGCCAAATAGCATTTGACTGGTCTCTAGCCCAGTTGCTGTTAAAATTCTTGCTTCTTTCTGAGATCTCTTGAAGCTGGGTTTTCACAGTCTGTGTTACTCTTAGCAATGCAGTCTAGGCTCTTGCTAGAATTGGCTTTTAAGCTCTGCTTACAGAATTCAACCAGTTATCTTATCTAACATCATAATCTTCCAAAAATCAACACAGTCAGGTTCTTCCCGGCAATAGCCCACTCTCTGGTGTCATCTTCTATAATAGTTACTTGTATGCTGATGTAATAAAACACCAGAGCGAAGGTAACTTACAAAAGAAAGGGTTGACTTGGACTCCCAGAGGGTAAGAGTTCATCACAGGGAGGCATGGCAATTCCTGCATCAGGAGCAGGAAGCTGAAAGACCACATCTCAACCCCGACGTATAGCCCACCTCTAATGGAGTACTTCCTTCAGCAAGGCTACACATCTTGGATGATTCCACTAACTGAGGACCAAATATTCAAATATCCAAGTCCATGGGGGACATCCCTCAATGGACCGCAGCATTTTTTCTGTAAGTAGCATGCTAAGTGCTCATAGTCGTTTTAAAACTAAGACGGATGACCTGTCACCTCTGGTTTCTGCAGTCACAGGCTGAGTAATCTAAGTTCTGTCCTTCCTTTTGGTGATCTCTGCCTGTTCATTCAAGTCAGTGTACCGTGGAAGAAGGGAAAAATAAAACTTTGGGGTTCCCACCCCTGTAGATATGAGTGATCTTCTGTACCTAAACTGGTGATGTGATACAATAAGATTAATGCCTTGGCAAGGTGATGCTGATGGTTAGAGGTGACATGAATAAAGCACATGCCCAGAGGAAGCCCTTTCTGTTGGTGGCATGGTGGTGGTGAGCATGCCTCAGAAGACTCAGAATAATTGCTAGCACATAGAAGCGTAGATTCGCTGTCGTAGCTCCCTTCTCTTAGCCACTGTTGCCTCCACACACCGAAAAGCCCCTCGAGCTATGCCCTTGCCATTGGGGTTACAGACCTGCCTGCGGGTTCCCTCCACCCTCACGTGTCCCTCAGCACCTACAAATCTAATAAATAAGTGACTGTTTTCTTTTTCCATTCTCATCCTTCATCTTCTTGTCACCATGGCTTTCTCCTTTTACATTTCCTACCCAAGGCACAGAGAGTCACTGTGCCTGCTCGCTGTTCATTGCCAGTCCTTTTGTTCTTCTGTCCCCTGCGCCCCAGAATGCTTGGTGACTGACATTCTCTGCCTCAAGCTTCCACATTCTTCTTTAGGGCTGTTGACCATCAACCTCAGCAAGCCCTTAATACAAAGGACTACACATCCTCTTCCTTACCACAGAGCCTTATTAACAGAGCTGGAAGTCAGAATGTGGACTTTCTATACACCTCTGGAAGCCCTTTGTGGTTGGGTCGCTCACTTCGGTGGTTTTACTATCTGGGTAATTGTGGGTGGTCTGGGAATTTGCTGGATTTGAAATACCCGGCACAGGTTATTTGTAGGACATTCATTCTTCGTCTTGAGTCTCCATGAGTCTAGAAAGCAATTGAAACATTCTGTACACTCATCCATGTGACTTCTGTTGCCCCTTCAGGGTCTGTTTCTCCTTGCACAGAATCAGAACTGCCTGGAATAGGGTGGCTGGAATTTGAGAAACAGTTTTAACCTTTCGTCTTTGAGAAAATAGTCAGAACCTAATTAAGTCCGGGCAAAGGGCATGGGGCTGTTCTGTTCTCTATAATGAGTATGTGCCTGCATGTCTGTTATTGCTTTTGAGAGAATGCTTTCGCTGCTTTTACACTTGAATTTGGAACCTACCTCAGGGGATCTTAAAGGAATGTCCAGGATGAAGGAAACTAGCGGAATTCTCATTGTCCATCAAGTCTGATGTAAATGGGTGGCCAGGACTGGGGTTTGGGAGTACTGAGTGTATTCTTGAAGTGGTTTGGTCCATGTAGAGGGTGCCTAAGGAGACAGCCAGGGGAGAGCCAAGCTATTGTTCTCTGTCACTGAGATGTGAAAAGATGGCCTGAGTCACCTGAGAAAGAGCTGCACCTCTGCTTCCAGGGCGCCTCCCACCCCCCACACCCCATCTTTTACACTATTGTCTTCTATTTTCTTTTTCTAATACAGCTAACTCATAAAAATCTGCTCCTTTCTCTGCACTCCCGGCCCCTGGTGAGGTTTTATTACACTGGAGCTGAAAGAAAAAGTATTGTATCTCCTCACTTAGCTGCAGGGCTTTCCCTTCCATAGGGAAAGAATAATCTTACAAGTTCCACTATAAAATATACAGGAGAGAGAAATAAGATTAAGCTCCAGGAATGTGAGCTGCTGTTGACATTTCCTTCAAATGATGAGCTGACATTACTCATGGCAATGGCCAATTATGATAAATCTGAATTGTCAACAGTGTTATTCGCCTTTCATTTAAATGCGTGGTTCAGTTTCATCAAGATACTTATGAGTATCTTGAAGACATAAGTGGTCCTCAGCAGGTCCCTCAAACCATTAGCTCTGCTCCGTACCCCCTAACTGCTCCTTCACCTTCTCTGCCCTGAATATTTTTAGTGAGTAGCAGTTATCTCCCCTCTGCCCTGCCTGCCTCCGCTCCGTGGAATTGCCCGCATGGGTGTTTGCAAAGAGGCTCTTCAGCTTGCTCAAGTGTCACTAAAGGAGAGGGGGTGGGGCCAGAGGAGCTTTAAAAGGGAGAGGGGAGTCTCTCTGGGTTCCAAAAAGAGAAGCGCTTTCTGGAAGGAATCCTATCTGCATATTTCTTATTTAGCCTCATCCCTCATCCCGGTGGAGCTTGGAACTTTCCATCAATTCTTTGCTTTCTCCTATCTCTCTGAGTCTTTGCCTGGCTGTGCCTGTCACAGCGAGAAATCAGTCACCCGCAGGCCTCCAGCACTCTCAGGCTCTGTGAAATTTGTCATAAGGGTGTCAGGTATTTCTTATTGCTGTCCAAAAGAAAAAAAAAGTGAGATAAAGAACTCTCTCCCGGAGCATTTCAGCCTGCACTCAGAGGCTTTCAGAGGGGGAGAAGGAGCTGAGAAGAGGCATTAAAACAGCGAAATAAAGGGAAATAAAAGATGCCCCGGGGCCGAAGGCCGACCTGGCTGGAAGCTCTGGGGGTCCGACACGTGGACTTCTCCTGCTCTATGCTCTAGGAATTTAAATCACCGTCTGTTGACTTTAGAACCACGGAGACCATGCTGCCCTCGCTCACCTTCCTGCTGGTGGTTTTAAAGATTAGCGTAGTCAGCGCCACAGCACAACAGCTTGGGAACTGTCGGCCAGGAAGCCGGACTTCCATTTGTGCAGGTAAGTAATCCAAGAACAGGAGCCCACCCTCGGGGGACAACGCCTCCAGGCATCTGCTCACTCTACCTTGTACACCCGTGCGCCGCCGCCCTCCCCCCGCCCCACTTTGGGTGTGCGTGTTTGCTTAAATTGTGTATTCTGAAGTGTGAGTGTGTGTCCTGGTAGAGGTCAGATGCTGCCAATTATAAAACGTCACCGTTCTCCACTGTTCTGTGCAGAAGCAAATATGCCTCATTTAAAACCAGCTGAGTATTTCTTCCCCTGTAAACCTCAGTCTTTAGCCCGGGGAGCTGGTAACACCTAGCTGATCAGCCCCGCATTAGAAACTGGGGAAGCATATGGTAGCAGTTGGTCCTACAGGATTTGAAAAGCCTTCCTTCTGATATCTGGGTAGCAGAAAATGGCCATAAGTCAATTAAGAGGGGGGTTTGGTTTGGTTTGGTTTGGTTTGGTTTGGTTTGGTTTGGTTTAAACAAAAACACAAACCAGGCTCAAGTTCAGCCTTTGCTCCTCCCGTGTGATCGTCTGGACTCTGAAGCTCTGACACAGCTCTCGGGTTCTTAGTAACAGGTGCACTGTGACTTTGCAAACTGCAGAGAGATGACAGGGAAAAAACGAGCCCCAGCGCCTCTCCTAGAAACTCCAAGAGGAATTTTTTTTTTTTCCTGATTGCATATTAAGGAACCTAACATTCCGGTTGGACACATTTTCTCACTGTTCATTCTTTACTCAGAGGGTGAGTCCTTAGACTGCTGTGTCCTCGAGGAAGACACTTCATTTACCCAAGGGTCCTGCACTGTCCTGGAAATCCTTTCTTGTCATCTTTCTTTTTCCATCCATATTTTTGAGACAGTGTCTTACTCTGTAGCTCAGACTGCCCAGGAACTCACTGCTCTTCCCAAGTGCTGAGATTACAGGTTGACCACCATGTTTGGCTCATTTCTTATCATCTTGCTTTTTTATGATATGGTCTGACTTCCAAAATAAATAAATACATAAATAAAGTAGACTAAGGAAAACACATTACGTTTTCAGAAGAGAAGCCTCGGGAAGCTAGATACAGAGAATCCTGGGAATAAGAGCCTGGCTGCTGTGCAGACCTCCAAACTAGATAGCTCCGAGAAATTGCACATAGGAAAATGGGGGATTTTTGCTCACAGGCCCAGAGTGTTACCAGGAAGCATTCACAGAAATTGCAGAGAAGATCTCTGAGGTTTTGAAGGAAGGAATGATTGCTAGTTATGACTACATCCTCAAGCCCGAGGGCACTTCCACTTTTCATATACTTAGTAAATTCTTGCTTTTTCTGTCACATGATGCCAGATAAATAACATCAGAACGGAGTTGACAAAAGACAGAAGTGACCCCCTTTTTGCCATTAGCTTTTGGAGACAGACAAGAAAACTCTTGGCCACTGGATTGTGTGGATCGGAATGTCACTGGGGTGGAGGACATCCCTGGAATAGCTGGAAAGTGATCAGAGTCAGGTCCTGCCCCCTGAACCATTAGTGAGGGGCATTGGTGGGAACCAGTCGTGCAGTTGGTAGCCAGAAGAGACGAGTCACGAGCAGAACTTAAAAGAGGAAGAAATTGAAGGACTGATCCAGCATGCATGGCTCTCGGGCCTTAGGGAATAGTGGGTGATTCCTCTGCCTTGTTCTCCTGCCCATTCCTGTGGGAGGGGTGGGATGGGGGAAGGGTGGCAGGAGGAAGGGTGGGCCCGAGTGCTTTTCTGAGATAGTTTGCACCAGATTGACCGGAAGCTCAGATGGAAATAATGACGTGGAATATTTCTTCACGGTGTGGAAGAAATAGATTTTAGAAGCAAAAAAATCTTGATTTCAAGTTTGCGTTGCCTTCAAAGTTGGGTTATTTTACAATATCCCTTGGAAATGACACCTGTTTCTCAGGATCACTGTTGGGATGTCCGGAGGTAACATGTAAAATATCCCTTGCCCAATGGCTGACCCAGTACGTGTCCTCTTAGGCTCCATGCCTTGACTAAAGTTCTTTGATCAGGTCATTCCTTGTATTGCCTAAATATCTGGAACAGTGCAGCGGCATGGGACAGGCTCTAGAGTGTGGCCCTCTGCCTTTCTTCTCTCCATCACTTGCAGGTCATGGTTTTAAACCCTCTGCTTCACTCTGCATCTTAGGTTAGTTGAAAACTGCCTAGGTCACACCCTGTCACCCTTGAATTCCAGAGGATAGCATTTCTTTCTCCTCTGTAAATAGAAAATGGTGACATCGTCTATTTTTTCCCCCACTTAAATTCTACTTGCACTCTTGCCATTGGCACTGAGACTGTTCACCTACGTGGCCGACCTGACCTGGCAAGAAGAATGCTTTGTGACCTAACGAGATCCAGGTAAAATGCCTTGAGGTTGCTGTTTGCTCGGATGCCAGTCAGCCAACCCAAAAGATAACAAGACAGAATTTGGTTTTCTTTCCATTCACCAGGGTTGAAAACAAACAACTTCTTGGCTTTTATTTAAGCGAAAGAAGATGAGGACAGTAGCAAAGAACACTGTTAGCAAGTGGTTTCTGAACTTTTAAACCTCTTAGCCCTGGAGGACAAATGTCAGTTGGACAGGAAGCTGTTCCTGCCTGGCGTTTAAACCTGTGTTATTTGTTCTTGGTAAATGACGGACACGGAAGAAGCCCAGCCTCAGAGAGCTGACTGTAGGAGGGATCTGGGCATGACATGGAGGTTAGCTCACTGGGTAGATGGCTTTTAGCGGTAGACAATGAGGTCACTGATTTCAGAGAGTGTTGAAGTTTGGTTGGCACCCCCGGCATGTGCAAGGAAGAGCGATTTTCTGATCCAAATCTTGTCTTTCACCCAGTTTTAGACGTTTCTTTTGACATGTAACTACAGAGAAACTGCAGGGTGGTGTTTTGTGTACATTCTGTCTGTAAATATAACCACTTGAGTCAGATAACTCTTGCTCAGTCCTGCAGTGTGTAAAAGGCAGGTCTTGTTTTCTTCACCACAAAAGAAAGCTGGCTATGCCTTCTTCCTGGGATTGTTGTCAGCACTGTGTTAATGTGGCCATATTCCTCAGTTTCTCATAGTCACTTGAAGAAATAAGACACTTTCTTCCAAGGAATTCCCAAAGGTTTGAAAGAAATTTTCCAGTTTGAGGATGTAGCCTAGCATTCACTTTAGCTTTAATATTTACTGCCAACCTGAACAATCCTAAAGCTAGAGAATGGAGGGGTAGGTTCTTTATGCTGTAGTTTCTAACACCAGAAACAGGAATAAAAGTGGTTACAGTGGTTCTAAAAACCCTGATGAAGGTCCTGGTGAATCTCCCCCATCTGTCCACCCTGGCCCACACTCACACTGTCATCTGGAATGTGTACACTGCTCATGTGACAGGAGTATTATTTGGATATTAGGTGCACTAAGAATGCACATTTCTTTTGTAGATTAGTTTTGGAACTGAGGGAGCCTTTACCACCAGTTTCCTAGTCTTTCCCAGCTATCCCATTTGCTAGGCACTGGAACAAAAAGATTACTCAGGGTCAGGCCTATGTAGAAGAAGAAGGAGGAGGAGGAGAAGGAGAAGGAGAAGGAGAAGAAGAAGGGATCATTTGGATCCTTTCCATTTTCTGACAGCCCTCATGCTCCCTGAAAATGCATTTTCTTCTGTGTCCATGCTACAAGCTTCCCAGGGCAATTATGGGATGGTGTTGGCAAACATATCTCCTTTAGTAGGCTTGCCCCTAAACATTGTCTTTCCAAGGTTTCTTTCAGTCATGGGAGTTAGAGAATGTATAGAAACTCAGTTCTCTTAGCCTGACACAGGCCAGGCCCTTCTATTCCCATCATCACTTCAGACTTCCGAGACTGGGAGTTGGGATTTGCGCATCTATTTTCATCTCTGACCTTGATTTTCTGATTCTCCAAGCAGGCTAAGCATGCTCATGTCTGTCAGTGTTTGGATTTCCCAAATATTTCCTAGGATGCTTCCTGTCCTGGAATTGTGTGAATATGCAGGCATTTCAGAGCCAGCTTGCTCCTGTGGTAGAGATTCATGACAAGCACTGATTTATTTGCAAAGCCCCAGGGATACAGTAGAAAGGGCCTTTCATAGAAAAGCACGGCTGTCCTGTACTCCATCTCCCTTCTTTGCACAAGCTCTGTGGGATGTTGCTCATTCTGGAGGTAGCTCTTTCTGTGGGTAGGCAGTTGCTAGGATATAGAGAATCAGAAGAGCATCACCATGGCTGCCCTGATCTTTCACGTGGTATATTAGTGAAGAAGCAGTGTTTCATTTCATTCACATATTAGAAGTGCCTTTGCTTATACTTAGAAGCCACAGTTACTTCCCTGGGATGAGCTGAATCTAGGATGTTATTTGTCACTTTTACCCTCCTTGATGGCAAAATATTTTTATTCTTACTGCAATCACATTTGCCTTCCGCATTTCAAATAAAACACTTATTTAAAGTATTTTTCTGTATATTTTAATAGCTATTTATGTAGCTGTGCCCCTGAACCCAGTTGCAAGCAGATTGGGACAGAGAACAATGAAATTAGAGTTGAGGAATAGGCTTGACACTCTTGAAATTTGTTTTTCTTCCTCTGTCTTAAAACCTTTTTTGTCTGGTTTGAGCATAGTTGCACATGCCTTTAATCTCAGCCCTCAGGAGGCAGAGACAGGTGGATCTCTGTGAGTTCAAGATCAGTTCCGTCTACATGCTGAGGACCCTGTCTCAAAAACAAAACAAAACAGAAAAATCTTTTTGTCTAAGAACACTTATGTAACAAGTATCCATTGGCAAGTATTTGCAATTTGAGGAACATTACTTAAAATTTTGTTACTTAAAAGTAACAAAAAGATTCCATGCACTCTGCCCAACAGTTGGCCATAAGTCTCAGCGTCTGCTTTGATAGTCTGCAGGGCAGAGGCTGTCTGCTTTGATAGTCTGCAGGGCAGAGGCTTTCGGAGGCCATCTGAGGCAGGTTCCTAGGTTGTTTCCTGTTTTCTTCT